TCCTTACTTGTTTGTGTGTAAGCCACAACTTTCCCACGTTGTGAAGTCTGGTCTCCCACAGGCCTCTCTCCTCCTCTCATTCCTCTCTCTTTCTACTTTTCCTCTCTTTCTTATGCCTCCCTTCCACTTTGCACCTGTACTCGGCTCTGCAGCCCCAGCTGCTCCCATCTCAATTTGGCGCTGTTGGCCGGAGCCAGTGTTGCACTTGGCATGTCCTCTGAGAACCTGGGGCCACACTTGACGTGCGAGGGCCGGGCGGGCCCCCGCCCTAGTGAAAGCTCCCGTGGCCATGAGTTAAGAGCAGACGCATTAGAAGGAGGGCTGTGGCCTCAAGAAAGACCTGCAGGAATTCTGGGAGTAATGCGCTGACTCATTTTATAGTTTGGCCGAGTCAGGCATCAAGAAAAGTCACATAACGAGAGAAGGAAGAAGAAATCGTCTTCGTCTTCCTCCGCTTATCCGGGTCCGGGTCGCGGGGGCAGCATCCCAACTAGGGAGCTCCAGGCCGTCCTCTCCCCGGTCTTGTCCACCAGCTCCTCCGGCAGGACCCCAAGGCGTTCCCGGACCAGATTGGAGATGTAACCTCTCCAACGTGTCCTGGGTCGACCCGGGGGCCTCCTGCCGGCAGGACATGCCCGAAACACCTCCCCGGGGAGGCGTCCAGGAGGCATCCTGACCAGATGCCCAAACCACCTCAACTGGCTCCTTTCGATCCGGAGGAGCAGCGGTTCTACTCCGAGTCCCTCCCGAATGTCCGAGCTCCTCACCCTATCTCTAAGGCTGAGCCCGGCCACCCTACGGAGGAAACTCATTTCGGCCGCTTGTATCCGCGATCTCGTTCTTTCGGTCATTACCCAAAGCTCATGACCATAGGTGAGGATTGGGACGTAGATCGACCGGTAAATCGAGAGCCTAGCTTTCTGGCTCAGCTCCCTCTTCCCCACGACAGATCGGCTCAGCGTCCGCATCACTGCAGACGCCGAACCAATCCGCCTGTCGATCTCCCGATCCCTCCTACCCTCACTCGTGAACAAGACCCCGAGATACTTAAACTCCTCCACTTGAGGTAGGACCTCTCCCCCGACCCGGAGGTGGCAAGCCACCCTTTTCCGGTCGAGAACCATGGTCTCAGATTTGGAGGTGCTGATCCTCATCCCAGCCGCTTCACATTCGGCCACGAACCTACCCAGCAAGAGCTGAAGGTCAGAGCTGGATGAAGCTAGGAGGACCACATCATCCGCAAAAAGCAGAGACGAGATTCTCCTGCCACCAAACTCGACACACTCCACACCACGGCTGCGTCTAGAAATTCTGTCCATAAAAGTGATGAACAGAACCGGTGACAAAGGGCAGCCCTGGCGGAGTCCAACCCCCACTGGGAACAGGTCCGACTTACTACCGGCTATGCGGACCAAACTCACGCTCCTCTGGTAAAGGGACTGAATGGCCCTTAACAGAAAGCCACCCACCCCATACTCCTGGAGCGTCCCCCACAGGGTGCCCCTGGGGACCCGGTCATAGGCCTTCTCCAAATCCACAAAGCACATGTGGATTGGTTGGGCAAACTCCCATGCCCCCTCCATCACCCTTGCAAGGGTATAGAGCTGGTCCACAGTTCCACGGCCAGGACGAAAACCACATTGCTCCTCCTCTATCTGAGATTCAACTATCGATCGGACCCTCCTCTCCAGTACCTTGGAGTAGACCTTTCCAGGGAGGCTGAGGAGTGTGATCCCCCTATAGTTGGAACACACCCTCAGGTCACCCTTCTTAAAGATGGGGACCACCACCCCGGTCTGCCACTCCCTAGGAACTGCCCCCGATGACCACGCAATGTTGTAGAGACGTGTCAACCATGACAGCCCTACAACATCCATAGCCTTGAGATACCCAGGACGAACCTCATCCGCCCCCGGGGCTCCGCCGCTGTGTAGTTGTTTGACTACCTCAGCAACTTCTGCCCCCGAGATCGGACAGTCCATCCCCAGGCCTCCCAGCTCTGGTTCCTCCTCGGAATGCGCATTGGTGGGATTGAGGAGCTCCTCAAAGTATTCCTTCCACCGTCCGACTATAGCCTCAGTTGACGTCAGCAGCTCCCCATCCCCACTGTAAACAGTGTGAGGAAGAAGAAATGTTCAGGGAAATTATATATTCTTGCAAAAGCTATTATATGACAGCTTCTGTTGGGATTTTTCATGTTGGACATTTTTTAGCTAGTTATGTACAAGAAGCACAAGGGAAATGTCTTCATCTTATGTGTGGCTACACACAAAATGGCAATGACAAAATCCACTTATGGGTGATTGTCTCTATTCAAACACAAAATCTGTTCACCTGCTCATGTGGAGAAAAGACATTTTTGCTACTGCAGATAGGATAGGATAGGACCAAACTTTGCAAAGCAAGAATTTGGTCTAGATCAAGTGGCTGGGGAGAGGAAAGTCTGGGCCTCTGGACTTAGGCTGCTGCCCCCGCGACCCGATTCTGGATAAGCGGAAGAAAATGGATGGATGGATATCACAATACATAAGACAATCAGACAGTATTTCTGAAAAATCATACATTATTAGTGAAAGGGGAAAATTCCATATTGCAGCTTTAACATCTGTTGCTGCACTAGGTCAAGCTAAAAAATGTAAAATAAGGTAAAAATTCCATGTTACAACACTAAGCTAACCGCTAACAACATTAGCACTCTGAAAGCTATTTGCAGTACAATTAAGTTAGGGCACGTGAAAGCAATATCAAACTGTTTACCTGCCGTTTTTATGGCTGTGTTTTTAAAGTCACTGTTCAATAAAATGCCAGAAAAAAACATTTAGTAAAAACTTACTTGTTAGAGAATGATCGCTGCAAACTCCAGCATTGTCCATTTCAACGCATCCTGTTTTTAGCCGTAGACTACGGATCCACTTTTTCCATCTTCTTTCAGTACATTTTTTTGAATTAAGTCTTTTGTGGTTCACTACATTCGGGACATGAAAAACGCGTTTGTCTTTGTCCCGGTTAGAGTGGTTGAAATATCTGTAGACAGCACAAAGTAAACAACAACAAAGTAAAATTGGGTTTTGTGCAGCAGCAGCTACTTTCTGTCCACCATCTGCATTTGGTGACATGAAAGCTATGCCATATGAAACCCAGCAATATGTTGTAATATATTTTTTAAATTTGTATTTAAAGGGACTTTATGGAGTTTTGAATTTTTATGCTCGCGATTGCCCCCTCAGGCCAAAAGCGTAACGGCAGCTTCAATAAACTCGTGCACGAGGTGCGCATGCTGTACGTGCACACTCCTTAACAAAAATAACAGCTGAGACAGTCCTGTGTGTGTGTGTGTGTGGCCCAGAGGACAGGAGAACGCGCAGCTAATTAATTAAATAATTTGGCTCTGTACCTTTCTCTTCAGTACAGTCGACAAAGGTTTGTGATGGGTCAGTCTTCCTGCATGCTCAGATCATTCCCTTCCCTCTGCTTGAAAAATTGTTCCAAAATGAAAGTTGAACCCACATCTTTTTTATCTGTGAATTCAATGCCGTTCGGCGAGTCTCAAATAAAAATTTGGGCATCTTACTGTAAAAAAATATACCATTAATGTAAAAAAGAAACTCTAAATGAACTATGTTCACATCCAGAATCGAACCCGGGTCTTCCGCATGAGAGTCCGCCGTCTTACTGGGTGAGCTACAGCACCAGTGCCATCTTCTGTATCTGTAATATTTATATCCTTGATGACAGCTGAAACAACGTTCAAAGAACGGTTCGGAGCGAAAATGGCTATTTTGTTGCTAATTTGCAGGAAGTATCTAGAAGAAAGTAGCTAAGGGTCCTCAGAAATGTAGCTAGGTTCATCACTAGGCGTTAGGAACAGCGACAAAGTCGCTGAGTTGGCACTACCTCTCTCTCTGCTGCTAAATCTACGGATAGCACATGCTACGGGCTATGCCTGAGCGTGAACGCGCATGAAGCAGCCTGCTTGACCCGAGCATCTCTCTTTTTCTGTGATTTTACAGAAAAACAGGCAATCACAGTAAAAATGCCAGGGCTCATTCTACGGGACCAGGGCATTGCAGGAGAATGTATGAAGAAGAAATTCATTATTTCTATACATGTTTTAGCTGTCAAACTTCCATAATGCCCCTTTAAAATTAACATTTTAATTTAATCTTTTAGTTCTTTTTAAAAAGAACTAAAAAATGGAATTAGAATTTAAACACAGCAAGAACACACCAAAGAAGATTTTAATTTGTATGTTTGAACATTTAACCTAAATCAAATGTATGTCTGTAAAAGCAAATGTTTTTTATACGTTATCAAAAAAGCTTCACCAAATTCACCTGCAAGAAATGCTTCTTTCCATTAAGAGCCAACATAACAATACTGAATACAGTCTGGGAACGGGACCCTAATTGAGACATATTTCCATAAATCTCTGCTTGTGTCGACCACATACCGAGGCTGCGCGTCTTTGTGAATATAAGTGAATATTTGCAGCGATGAAGGCAGACGGGGAGAAGGATATTAAAATCCTTGCTTTTCTTGCTTCTTATTAGTTTTCCCACTGTTTCTCTTTTCGTGTCTTCAACTCCTCTCTTCTTCCTGACCCCCAGGGAGGGGGAAGGGAAGGGGTATCACACATGCAGACCTTTAAATCTGCTCTGTGACAGTTCAGACCCACTCTGTCAAAGCCCCGTGAAAGAGAGTGTAATCTATGTTCAGGGCGAGAAGAAAGAGGAGAGGATATATGTTCCTGAGCTTTGTTTTGCATCCATGAGCTGAGATTCAATAGCAGGGCATTACTCACCTAGTTGGCCAACAGACCATTGTGTAGTAATTGACCCTGATGAAGTGGTGGGCCTTTAATTTGGGAATGATGTAAACGGAGTGAATTGTTGACTGGGTTAGAGCTTTATTTCCTCTTTTTAAAATCTGTTTTCTCTGTAAATGATGTAGCAATGCCTCTTTAAAAACAAATGTCTTCTTTTCAATTTTGTTTATTCCAGGTACCATTATCCTGTTCCTAAGATCTTCTATGTGCAGCTTTCTGTGGGGAGTCGGGAGTTTATTGGGGAGGGACGAACCCGCCAAGCAGCGAGACACAACGCTGCCATGAAAGCTCTCCAAGCCCTGCGCAATGAACCCATCCCCGAACGGCCACCGCAGGTAAAATCCAACACGACTGAAGGTTTTCCTCCACTTGTTGACTTTTGTGATGCTGCTATGTTTTTACTACACTGCTGGATAAATGTATAAATACTGATAAAAATATTAAGTTACCTATCTCCTGCATCAGCGTCTGATTGAAAATAGACGGTGAAACTCTAGGATTTGAAAATCCTCACAGATCTAAGTCACACCGTCAATTAACATTCATGGACTCACCCATCTTGACTCATGACAGGGAAGGCTGTTGTCGGTTCAACGTCCAGGAAACCGCAGAGAACGTTTTGACTAGTGGAAGCTAACCGTTAGCATTACCAACTCCACCACACAGCAGATCTCCTCCAGGCTTGAGTTATTTGTGGAGATAAAACATCAACATTGCAAAGCAAACAGAGTCAGTGGTAGAGTTGCGTTGCTGTTAGCCAATCCGAGGCGAGATGTCCACATACCAGGAAATGAGACTCTAGACCCTGTCTTGTTCAACTCATCTCTGATCTGACTCATTTCTAATTCCTAAAACAGGAGCACCGGAGCTTTTCCCCTTGAGTACGACTTACAAGGCATTCATTCCTACTAGAGACCACTGCAAATGTGTTAAAAATATGAGTAAAGTAGATTTTTTTTAAAGGGTGGGTTTTCAGAACCCTTATAAACATGAATATGAATCGGGATTTTCTCACCGCTAGTTGTCTCCTTAAAACCGTTTTCATCAAAGGCGTTTAAACCAACCCCTCTAGGCTGAAAACCCTCGCTTAATTAAAACTGAGACAAATTGATGCTGCTGATCTCGCCTCTGAATATTTTTTTCTGTGCAGTTACCAAGTTGAGAGTGCAGCCAGCTTTAATTATATTGAATCTAAATCCACCTCAGCTCTAATTACTCTAATGTACCATTTAATCCCTGAGATCTAGTTTACACCTGGCTGGGGTTTTATTTTCTGTTCCTCATTTCTCCTTTTTCCCCTCCTTCACCTCTAGTGTTGGTGCACCTTTCCAAGGTTTCTTGAATTCCATGCTGTTAACCGCTTGTTATCATCTTGTCTACCGGAAATCAAATCACTCCTATATCCCCACCGCCTGGCATCACTGGTGGTTATTCAAAACGCTTTGGCTCCTCTCACTTGCCTGCCTCGATGTCTGATGGCGTCGGCCATCATCAGTCAGCTCTTTGTTTGCTTCGGCCGAGTCTTGATTTACAAATTGAGCTGCATTGTGTCTGCAGTATAAGCTTGCCATTCTGTTTCTGAGCGAGTGTGTGTGCGTGTGCGTGCGTGTGTGTGTGTGTGTGTGTGTGTGCGTGCGTGCGTGCGTGCGTGCGTGTGTGTGTGTGTCTGGACACCCTGCGGCTAAAAGTGTTTCTTTTCAAACCTTTGATTTTAAGGAAAGTTTCATGTAAATATCATCATCATCAGTGTAATTAAAGTTTGAAGACACAGGTAGGATGACATTTTGCATCTTAAGTCATACAAAAGATTAAAACAATAAAGATTAAATACAGAAATTATTTAGTTGATTCTAATTTTGAGGTTTTAGATGCTACTTTAAGCTGTAAAATGTGATATAAAGATGAAAAACACTGGTCTGTTTTTTCCTTTCGTCCAAGGGACCAAGATTGATGCAAAAGAAAGTAAAAGTGAGATTTATTTATAGTTTTGCAGAATTAATCTGTTGTTCTTATCCTTTGATGTAGAATGGGTTTCCCCTCATAAAACCAACCAAAACAGAATGTGAAATAGTTCTTTACTTTCTTGGCATCACTTTCCCTTTGAATATGCCCCTTCTGGGTCACCGCTGAACAGTTTCTCTGTGCTGTTGCAGTGTACTTTCCTCAGGAACTCATTGACCCTCACACGTTCAAGTAAAAGTCAGATTTTGTCTCATATTCATCACAAGGACACCGCTAGTCTGCCTGGTCCTTCATGTGTATTCTTCACTTTTACACTCGCTGACACATTCAGATTCTCAACATTTGCCAGCTCGTTTAGGAAACCTTGAAAATGAATAGATGCCGTCATTCACACATATTAAATATTTATAATGAAAGAGAAGGAAATAACCTTGAATAGCATGAATACAAAATGGAATTGAAGTGACTGGGCCTAGTCGTTTTTGTTACATAGATGAGGTCAAAAGAGTTGGATTTTAGTTGTTTTTCTTCTTGATCAAAAGTTTTGCTGAACGATTAAAGGTAAAGCTAATGCAGTCTGCCAAGTCTGACAAATATTTTTGCCAAAATTATACATTAAACAACCAGGGGCCTCATTTATCAAGCTTGCTTACGCACAAAACGGGGTCGGAAAACTGTGTAAGCAACTTTCCACGATAACTTTGGGATTTATGAAAAAAAAAAAACTTAGTGGAAAAATGTGCGCAACTTTAAGTTGACTGAGGACCTGGCTTACACACATGTTGGACATGGAGAGCACCTGCAGTGCTGCTGCTGATAAGGATAAAATTATGAAATCCTGCAGCATTATCACTTGTACTGCTTCGTTTTCACACGGATCAAGACCCCCACACGCACACACATGCTCACGCACACACACACACAGCCTGAAGCGCATAATATGGAATGCAGAATATCAGCAGGGGGACAGATTGAGACAGAATTTCATGTGTTTGTGACAGTGTGTGTCCTGTCACTGTAACCCGATTGATCATGCATCCTGGCTACTTGGCCAAAGGAGATCTCGGTTTGGGTGACTGGTTAGCACACATGACTTTCACCCGGGAGTCTGGGGATCAAATCCCGATCGGACCATTTTTTTAATATCCGCCACAGATCTCTCTTAAGAATTCACAACATTGACGGCTTCAGCAACGCTGTGCCACTCTGTGGATTTTCTCTTATTTGTTTTGCAAAAGCACTTCCTTTCATTTCTCCACCTCACCCACAGGTACCTGAATTTCTGCTTCTGTTAAATTGCGCTTCCTTGATCTGCCTTGATCTACGGTCGCCATCGTCATTGGTGGAGCGCTGCAACAGCCGGCTTATGTATATGCATGAGATCCACAAGGCACTTTGCATTGACTATTTATGGCAGTAAGTGGGCGTGGTGGCGGTGGGATGTGACTAAAATGCAGCTGAGAAACATTCTCGTTAGTCTCTGATGTAGAAAGCGGAGATTGTGTGCAGCTGTGCGTACTCCATGTTTGATAGATCACAAACCTACTTGGCGTAAGTACATTTTTTTTGCTGAGCTTAAGTACGGTTTTAGTAAGGATTCTACGCAATTTTTGATAAATGAGACCGCTGGTGCCTGTAGGCTCTTAAGCCACGTTGACCCAAAGTTGCAAAGTGTTGTTAAATTTAACACTTTTTACTTGTGTCAAAAGGGAACCCAAGTTACACCCATCTATACCCGGACCACGAGTCCCTGGAAATAAGAAAAAATGAATTCAAGTCAATAGGGCTATAAAAGCTTTTTTCTAATCCCGTTGCCATGGATTTCACATCTTGATGCCAAGAAAGCACTTATTTTTGAACAACAGCAAAAGTTGTTTTAGGTTTTGTGTGAAACCTGCTCACAGTGCCAAAACCACTGGTAAATGGTTTACTGACCATGGTAGTACTGTGCTCAATTGGCCTGCCAGCTCTCCTGACCTGAACCCCAGAGAGAATCTGTGGGATATTGTGAAGAGAAAGTTGAGAGACGCAAGACCCAACACTCTGGATGAGCTTAAGGCCGCTATCGAAGCATCCTGGGCCTCCATAACACCTCAGCAGTGCCACAGGCTGATTGCCTCCATGCCACGCCGCATTGAAGCAGTCATTTCTGCAAAAGGATTCCCGACCAAGTATTGAGTGCATAACTGAACATAATTATTTGAAGGTTGGCTTTTATTTGTGTTAAAAACACTTTTCTTTTATTGGTCGGATGAAATATGCAAATTTTTTGAGATAGTAATTTGGGGTTTTCATGAGATTTATGCCAAAATCATCAATATTAGAAACAATAAAAGGCTTGAACTACTTCAGTTGTGTGTAATGAATCTAATATATATGAAAGTCTAATGTTTATCAGTACATTACAGACGATAATGTACTTCATCACAATATGCTAATTTTTTGAGAAGGACCTGTATACATGCATATATATTTATGTGTGTGTGTATATATATATATATATATATATATATATATATGCAAACTCAGAATTGCAGAATAAAGTGTAAAATGTAAAGTATAAAATCTTAAATTGTTGAATCTTTAAGTTTTCCTCAGATTCTTGTTTCTTTATATTATATTTAATTACAGTACTTGTAAAGTTTCTGTTCTACACACACAGTTTGGGACTTCTCCCACACTATGCTAGTAGTTCTGCATGATGAAGAATTATCTGAACATCTAAAATGCCCCAAAGTTTTCCACAACATTCTATGTGTCATAACAAAATGCATGTATGTCTCAGTGGGATTAACTTTTGTACAGTTGGTACAATGCGACTGCTTCCTGTGAAATCCAAGAAATCTCATCTGAAAGTATAAATCTTGTGGCGTATCAGGTCACACAATGAAGCAGGGAGAAGGGAAGCGCCCAGAGGGAAAGACGGCAACTATTCAGGATTAGTCTGACAATGAGCTGGACATGAAAAGATAAAAATCCCAGCCATTCCCCTGCTTTCCCATAGACAACTGGCAGCAAAAAGCCCCTTGTTGTACGAATTGATACGATCTCATTGGCGTAAAATAGGTTTAGAGTCACCGATAGCTGCCATATTCATAAATTTGGTTGACTCATGCAAACCACAAACATTTTAATAGATTTTATAAAATCTATTTTGACTGAAAAGCTTTGACATTGGCCCTGCCCCAAAACCACGAGCATGACAGAAACTGTGTCACTTAGATTATTTTATAACATAATGATAAAATCGTTATATTATTTTCTCTTTTTGATTTTGATACGTAACTAAACAGTGATTCTTAAATTCAATAGATTTTCCATTTTTCATTCTTGTCCACTCATCTGGGTCAGAGACCCAGGGTTGGCACCCCCAGCAGTGAGGCCCAAGCCCTCTTCTCACTAACAGCCTCCACCTGTGAGACCCCAAGGCATCCCCTTGCCAGCCTGGTGATATAACAACGTATTTATCTACTTTAAACACACTGTGTATGACTCGTCTGTGCTTGTCATCCAGAGTCTTCTGGCGCTGATCTGTAGCTGGCAACAGCCACAGAACTCAAAGAACAGTCACCTTTTGTTTATAAAAATGGACTGCAGTATCCAAATTTGACCACATGATGCCGCCCCCCCCCCCCCCCCCCCCCCCACCCACACACACACACACACACACGTGGAGTTGGCAATCCACCCTTTTCCGCTCGAGAGCCATAGCCTCGGAGGTGCTACACCAGATTACATGGTATTAAGCTGTTTTCCAGGAGGCCAAATCTGGATAAGACATACAGACTCAATAATAGATATGTGGCTAGTTTAGCATGGTTGCCACTTTTATTGCTGCCATTTGTCTGTTTTTTTTTTACAGATCACCAAAGAAATATGTCATACATTTTATTTGATGACTTATTTGAAATCCTGTATGTTTTCTCCTAGAGCCCTGAGGAGAAAACAGAGGTTCAGGAAGGAACTGATGCAAGTAAATCAGAGATCAGCCTGGTTTATGAAATCGCTCTCAAGAGGAACTTGTCTGTTAATTTTGAGGTAAGAAACAGGAAGCAGTGGTCAAACATTACACTGAACTACTTATTTACCAGAATTAGGTCATGTGATGTCAGTATTACCGGTGAATTACCATGAATCATGGCTGCATGGAAAGATAAGATTATGTTCGAGTCTGAGACAACTCATAAAATAATTATAATAATTAAAAAAAGTTTCTGGGTTTAGGTAATCACAAAATTGATTTGTAATTTTTTCTGCTCAAAAGAAAAGGAGAGTTGTCTTTCCTCCGGATGCGTTCATCATGAGTTAGACTTCCTGGGATTCTATGAACATCATTCAGTCACCTGCTAAACATCATTTCTGTGTTGCGCAACCTCATAAAGCATGACATTAACAGTGACCTGGATAAAACTCACAAGTGTACAGTCATCTCTCTTATAGTTTCTGCTTTGCCATTTTCTTACAGACATTAAATTGAGTAGAGATAATCTCAAAAACAACACATGAAAACTTCCTTGATTCTTTTCTGTAAACATAAAACCAATCAGAACAAAAGAAGAGGAAGGCCGATTTTCCATCAACCTTCAGAGCCTGTGTAGTTTCAATGTGTCCTCGTTTGACCTGCTCTGTCTTTCTTGGCGTTTACTGTATCTTTGCTGACTCATCCAATACTCTCTCTCCCACCCACCACCCCTTCTTCTTCTTCTGCTGTACTCAATAAGGGGCCAAAAACCAGCAAAGCTCAGTTTACACTGAGTTTCCCCTCCCTCCTTCCTCAGACCTCCCTTCCACCTCCACCACTCCCAAATTCACACATAGGACGGTTGTGTGTGGAGGGGAAATGGGTGGGAGGCAGACGTAAGCTTGGTTTCTTTATAAGAGCTAAAACATTTGGGAAATGATGGAGGAAATCTGTTAAATCCTCCAATTTCCCTTTACATTGTTCAGAAATGAATTTGCTCATCAGAGCAGGACAGGTCAGGCCATCCTGGAACTGGAGTTAATGATTTTATCCTGCTAAATCTGGGCTGTGGCGATTAATCATCTGTTATGTCTTTGGCACTATCTGGAATTACACCAATTTTATTTTCAGTCCATTAAATTTAGAAACTGAAAGCGGGTTACAGCCATACTGGTGTCTGAATGTTTATCACAGCCAGCTGATGAGTAAATCAGTGACCTTCCCTACCTTTTTAACATTTTGTCTTTTTCTTATGATCTTTCGACCACTAATTCAACAATTCTGCTCCAGCCTGGTTTGTTGACCTCCATCATCGTACCATGTTTTCCAATATAAACAGACCCAGCCAGCGTAGCTCTCTGATAATAAAGTGATGTGGTGTAAAAAATCCACTGTGTGCACGCAGCTATAAAAATTTGAGGCCTAACTTGATTGTGGAGAAAAACAAGTCTGAGAAACTTGGCTTTATCATCACAAATCATTCTGTTTCTCCAAATTGAAAGCATGTTAACCTCTGGGTAATTATTGATTTCTCACAGGGTCTAAAAGTTGCATAAGTCACTTTCTACTAGGGCTGGGCGATATCGCCTAAAATCAATATCACGATATATTGAAGATTTCACCTTGATAACGATAAATGGACGATAACTACAGGTATGCGCAGAGACAAAATTGTCCACTAGATGGGGCTGTCACATGTATCACGTTGAGTCACAATTTTAGTGACTCAAGGTGGTACAGCTTCTTTAAGGGACATGAACATTGCCAACCTACACACATCTTTTCATTTTTTCATTATCATATTTATTGACATGGGAACATTTTTCTCGATAAGACTCAGAAATTTCGATAACAATAAGTTTTTGATTTATTGCCCAGCCCTACTTTCTACACAATCTTTGTGATGGGAAAATAAATGTAACTTTCTGCAAATGCTGACCATTGCGCCTGCACATTGTGGAGATGGGTAAACTGGCAACACATCCAGTGAGATTGCAAAATGCTGAATTTCAGCCATATTAAGATTTGTAAAACGATAAGTGATAAATGGTCCGCAATTGTATAGCGCCTCTCAGAGTAAGGACTCCAAAGCGCTTTACACTACAGTGTATCATTCATCCATTCACACACTGATGGTGATGAGCTACGATGTAGCCACAGCTGCCATGGGGCGCACTGACAGAGGCAAGGCTGCCGAGCACATGCGCCACTGGTCCCTCCGACCACCACCACCAGGCTTAAGGGTTAAGTGCCTTGCCCAAGGACACAACAGCAGAATTCTCTGTCCGGTGCCAGGATCGAATCTGCAACCTTCCGATTACTGGACAACCCACTCAACCTGTTGAGCTACTGCTGCCCAGTGAGTTGTAGACTCTCTCTCACACACACACACACACACACACACACACACACACACACACACACACACACACACACACACACACACACACACACACACACACATGCTGCACCAACAGTCAGCTCCCACCGTCGCCTTTGAACTAAGTAAAAATGAGAATATGAATGAAAATACTTTGCATTTAAGAGTTATATCACAGTATTTTCATATAGCAGTTGCACTTATTTGTGCATTAATTATGATGAGATGTATATCAATTCATGTGATTACTGAGTACATAGACTGCTGTGACACTCGTGTATAATGCTTCACAATGGATGCAATGGCACTTTGTAAAGATCATGCCAATGATGAGTTTTTAGAGTCCACAAAGATTTCTTGACCCGTGATGATAACTGACTAAACAGCCGATTTAGATCTATGTCAGGGTTTCCCCTAGAAAATGAGTTAAGCCTGGCGGATTCGGCTGTCAGAGGCGGGGGGGGGGGGGGGGGGGGGGTAGTAGCACGTTCCTTGCCTCAGTGCTCCTGCGGGGGTGGGGGGGTGGCACATGTTCCGCTGCCGTTTCTCACCAGTATCAGCGGATGGATGGCTCTAGTTTCGTTGCGCCGTTCGTGTCAGCGGACACTGTAGGGTCGGGGAAGGGGGCGGGGCATGACGCTTAGTCTGGTGGGTGGCCAAGCGAAACCTGGCGGGCCGTCAGGCTCTTAACGTGCTGGGGGAAACCCTGTATGTGCTGAACTAGGCCTGGTGTTTGTTCAACTGACCTGCAGGCACAGTTCAATCCCGGCACACCTGCAGCGGTTGACCATTCTCATTCCTGCAGGAATTAGCCAATAGGCTGATATTTGTTTCATACAGAATATGTGACATTTTCAGCCTAATGCCCATCTGGGTTGAATTAAATGTTGGATGTGCCCCCTCCTGTGGCAGACACACTCTAGTTATGGCAGGCCATCTTCCTCTGTGCCTTCACCTTCAGGTGTGATGACTTCTTTTTTTTATGTCCACCACAGACCTCTTCATCGCCCTAACAGCCTTCACCCTTGCAACTACGCTGTTCAACTTGAGGGCAATAAAACACTTTTCCATGCCTCGGTTTCAGTCCAAGTGAAGTTGCGTTTTCTAGACCTAGTTGCCATGATTAACCCTAAAATGTCACAGATCAGCCGGCTTATGTATATAAGGTACCTTGCCTTAACAATATACAGCAAAATGTGCATTTGTAGGATGTGGGATATGTTTTCAATTCACCTTAACACATTTCTAGTAAGGGTGTGATTTAATAACGCAGGAATTGCGTACAGCTGTTCGTCTGCAATTATTTGCAAGCTTTTCTTGCTGATCTTAAGAAGAATTTGATTAAGGATTCTGCTCATACATTTTACAATGAGGTACTCAAATAAGCACCAGGCTTCTATGCTTGGTATGCACTGCACTACTGCACATCCCCACAGCCAAGATTGAATAACAGGATGATAGCAAAGTATGCTAATTTGGGGAATGGGCTGGGCGCTAACAAGTCAAGTTTGCCAAAACATGACATTTAAGCTGTCTCGTATTGCTTCTTAGGAGGAGCAGAGTAGTTATTTGATGATGGTACCGATGGGAATTACTGGAGGAGTGTTATGGCAAAGGAACTCCACTTAACTGATGTTAAGATCTTGAAACAAGGAAGTAGAGCACAACTAATTTCAATCCATCCTGAAGGAAAGGAAAACAATTTATTGAAATGAACAGCCTGTGGAATAAAATTTTCGTCCTCTTCGTAAACCACGTCTCTTTTCCTTTTGATGTTCTGAGTAGAAATTGTACACCTAAAAACCCCCAATCAAAATTTTGTACCGGCACACATAATTGCACATTTTCTATGCAGAACACTAACAGTTCTTTCTTTCAAGTGAACACCTTGAACATCAGATATGTTTTTACATCATTTCGTCCCTCCTCTCACCGAGGCATGAAATCACCCATGAATCGAGCGTCAGCTTTCTCATCACTGCTACTACGAGGGTCACCACCACCCCAAGAGCCAGTTGGCTCATTTAATCCCCCTGTCAGGCAATATCAAACAAATGTCAGCATCAAAGAAGAACCAATCTATAAATCACAGCGTGTGCACTGGATTGGGGGATGCCTTACTGGGAAGGACATAGAAGAAGGTACTGGGCCAAGAACCACCCATCGTACAAGGAGCAGTTTCCCTCAGGACATGTCCATCCACCTTTTGTCACAAAAGACTCTTTCTTCCCTTCACTAGTCCTCACTATTGTCCTCCCCTGCTCCCATAGCCTTGTCTTCTAGAGTACCTGAGTCCTTACATGCCCAGATCCTCACTCTGCTCAGGGTATTGATGTCTCAGTGAGAAGCCGAAGAGAAGGCCTCCCATGTTTAAATAAGAAAAGATGAAGAAAAAAGGACTGGGGGAAATTACAGAAGGTTTTCTGTGTTCAACCTGATCTCCTCGTCATTGGGTGGTAGACGGTTGTGTTAGTGTGTTTGTTTGCATGTTTGTGTGTGCGTCTTGCTTGTAGGTGAATGGAATGCTGAAATCCCATCGGTGTGGTGTAGATTTTGCATCGTCTGCCAGGAGACTAAAGGCAGCTTGTCTGCCACCAATCTGAGGCAAAGGCAGGGGTATATGTAGCACAGATATACTCTTTCTGGCAGTCTTTTTTGTGATTCATAGCATGAAGTGGAAGAAAGACCTCAAAATAT